AAGTCAAGATCAAAGATAGCTACGCCTGCTCTAGACAGCTCTCCCCAGCGGGGGATCTCACTAGCCTCCAGGAACTGCTGACGCCAAGCGTCCGTCAGGCGGCCAAAGCAGCGCTGGGTGGGGTGAGCACCCCCACACTCCTCACCGCGCGGTCGCCGGAGCGAAGGACGTAGGTGCACGGGCCAAAACCCCCACCACGCTGACGCTGCGTGTACCACTCACGGAGCTGTTGAGGAGAGGGGATGTCCCGAGAACGCTGCTGCCGCTGCTGGCGCCGACCACTCTCGGAGCCGCTCCTCTGAGAAGAACCACCCCGACCAGCTCCACCTCCTCCACCACCGCCGCCTCCAACTCCGCCGCCACCACCGCCTCCACCTCCGCCGCCACCGCCGCCTCCGCTCCCACCGCTACCGCCACCGCCGCCTCCGCCTCCGTCGCCTCCGCCTCCGCTGCTGCCACCGCCACCTCCACCCGCGCCACCACTCCCACCGCCACCCCCACTCCCCCCGCCGCCCCCACCGCCACCTCCACCACCCCCGCTAGCCCCAACCGCGCCCTTTCCCCCCTTGCCCTTGCCAGAGCGGCGTCTCCCGCTAGGGGCATTTGCCGCACCGACCGACTCAAGACCAACGAGGTTGGCCGCAGCCCCAGAGGCGACAGAGGGCATTAAGGGGGAAGGGGAACACCCCTCAAAGATGGGGGTGCGAGGGTCACCACGAGAGGCTCCTACAGCGACTATGCTCTTCTCCGCCGCTAGGAGGGCCTTCTCTAGGAGGTCAACAGTGAGAGTGGTGGGACAAACTGAGAGGAAGTGGTCCCTGACTACGCGAAGGGAGTCAGGGAGGCGGGTGACTATATAATAGAGAGCAATGTGCATGGGGGGGGGGGGGGGGTTCTTGGCGCAGAACTCAGCAGGAAACGCGGCGCGGTAGCGAGTGTCACTAGTGCAGAGGTGCGTAATGAGGTCAGCGACTGTGGGAAAGGCAGCAAGGTCAGGAAAGAGGTACGGTAGCATGAGGCGGCTCAGTGCAGCAGTGGCAGGGGAGGAGTAGCGTGCAACTACAGCGTCGTACAAGGTTTGAGCACTCTTGTACTGGCTAAAGTGCGCGCGCTCAATGGTAGGCAGGTGGTGACGCACAGCAAGACGTGCAGCAGCATCGCGAGTGGCCCACTGGGAGCAAACAGTGGCGTCGGCATCGGCAGCACGGGCAGGGGAAGCACCAGAGGTGAGGTCAAAGAGTGAAAGACCGTCTGCCCTATGGCACTGTAGGAAAAGCTGCAGGTCATCCACCCAAACCTCAAAGTCAATGGCTCGACCCTCAGCGTCAAAAGCGAGAACACTGGGGGTAGCCATGACAACAGTGGACTAGCAATACGAACTATAGGACAAGGGCATTGCAGTGACAGAAGCGCTGCTCTCACCAGGCAGGGCGGGTCGGGCAGCTCAGTGGTACAGCAGCACGGCAATACGGCTGCTCGGACGGCACTGCAGCAACTGCGGCTCTGTGGCACCAGCAGCTCGGCTCCTGAGGCGGCTCGGGCGGCTCAGGCGGCTCGGGTGGCTCGGGCGGCTCGGGCGGCTTGGGCGGCTTGGGCTGGTCGGGCGGCTCGGGCGGCTCAGGAGAGTTGGGCGGCTCGGGTGGCTCGGGCAGCTTAGGCAGGTTGGGCGGCTCAAGAGGCTCGGGCGTTTCAGGCGACTCGGGCGGCGCGGGCGGTGTAGGGCGGCAGGGCTGCTGGTGCGAGGGGCGGCTGGGCCGCTGAGAAGGGCGGAGAGGCCGTTGCGGAAGGATGGCGGGGCCGCTGAGTAGGGCGGCGGGGCCGTTGAGGAGAAGGGCGGCGGGGCCGCTGAGTAGGGCGGCGAGGCCGCTGAGTAGGGCGGCGGGGCCGCTGAGGAGAAGGGCGGCGGGGCTGCTGAGTAGGGTGGCGGGGCCGCTGAGGAGAAGGGCGGCGGGGCCGGTGAGTAGGGTGGCGGGGCCGCTGAGTAGGGCGGCGGGGCCGCTGAGGAGAAGGGCGGCGGGGCCGCTGAGTAGGGCGGCGGGGCCGCTGAGCAGGGCGGCGGGGCCGCTGAGGAGAAGGGCGGCGTGGCCGCTAAGTAGGGGCGGGTGTCAGAGCATTATAGCTTACTTATTTGTGTAGGCTATAGTGGGGTATCCCATAGGGGGTACAACCCAATTAGGGTTTCATATTTGTACTCACTTCATTCATAGTTCATCCATTCTCGTTCGCTTCTTCTCATGGAATCAGAGCAGGTTCCCCTGTGGGAACTGTGCTTAGGGCCCACCACTTAAATTTTTTTTTTTCTGCCCTAGCGCCTTGCGCCCTAGCGCCTACCCTAGCGCCCGCCCTAGCGGCCGCCTTAGCGCCCGCCCTAGCGCCTGCCCTAGCGCCCTAGCGCCCGGCGCCCGCCCTAGCGCTCGTTCGCCGCCCGCGGCCTGTCCGTGCGCTGCCGCCCGTGCGCCGCCGCCCGTGAGCGCCGCCCGTGAGCGCCGCCCGTAAGCACCGCCCGTGAGCGCCGCCTGTCAGCGCAGCCGCCCGTCAACCGCCGCTGGTGCGCCGCCGCCCGTGACGCCGCCGCCCGTGAGCCGCCGCCCGTGAGCCGCCGCCCGTGAGCCGCTCGCCAGTGAGCCGCCCGCCCGTGAGCCGCCCGCCCGTGAGCCGCCCACGACGCCGACGCCGCCGACGCTGCCTACGCCGCCCGTGCACCACCGAAGCCGCCGACGTCACCCGTGAGCCACCAACGCTGCCGACGCCGCCGACGCCGGCCGTGAGCCGCTGACGCCGCCGTCGCCGCCGACGCCGCCCGTGAGCAGCCGACGCCGCCCTCGAGCCGCCCGTGCAGCCGCCCCAGCCGCCCGTAAGCCGCCCGTGCGCCGCCCGCGAGCCGCCCCAGCCGCCCATGAGCCACACGCGAGCCGCCGCAGCCGCCCGTGCTGTCGCCCGCAAGACGCCCGCGCCGCCCAAGCCGCCGGAGCCGCCCGAGCCGCCCGAGCCGCCCGAGTCGCTCGAGCCGCCCGAGCCGCCCGAGCAGCCTGAGGTGTCGGCCTCCTGTTCCTGTGGGGGCTGCTGCTGCTCCTGGGCCACCGTAGCTGCTGTGCTGCTGTGTGACTGTACTCCTGAGCTACCCGACTCTTCCCGCCTGGTGAGACTGTTAGCTGCTATAATGGCCACCCTCAGTGTCCTGTCTTTTGACGCTGAGGGTCGCGCCGTTGACTTTGCAGTCTGGGTCGAGGACCTGCAGCTGTACTTACTGTGCGATGCGATCGATGAGGTTTCTCTCTTTGACTTTGTCTCTGGCGCTGTCCCTGCCCCTCCTGCTGATGCTGACCCCTCTGTTTGCTCCAAGTGGGCCACGCGCGATGCTGCTGCACGTCTTGCTGTGCGTCGCCACCTCCCTTCCTCCGAGCGTGCACACTTTAGTCAGTGCAAGACCGCTCAGGCCTTGTACGACGCTGTAGTTGCGCGCTACTCCTCCCCTTCCTCCGCTACGCTGAGCCGCCTCATGCTACCGTTCCTCTTCCCTGACCTCGCTGCCTTTCCCACAGTCGCTGACCTCTTTACCCACCTCCGCGCTAGTGACACTCGCTACCGCGCTGCGCTACCTGCTGAGTTCCGCGCCGCAAACCCTCCTCCCATGTACATCACTCTCTACTTTCTAGTCACCCGTCTCCCTGAGTCCCTTCGTGCCGTTCGGGACCAGTTTCTCTCTGTCTGTCCCACCACCCTCACTGTGGACCTCCTTGAGAAGTCCCTGCTAGCGGCTGAGAAGAGTATCGTCGCTGTAGGGGCCTCTCGTGGTGACCCTCGCACCCCCATCTTTGAGGGGTGTTCTCCTTCCCCCCTACTTCCCTCTGTCGCCTCTGCTGCTGCGGCCGACCTCGTTGGTTTGGAGTCGGTCGGTGCGGCGTCTGCCCCCAGCGGTAGGCGCCGCCCTGGCAGGGGCAAGGGGGGCAAGGGAGCGGGTGGAGCTAGCGGGGGCGGTGGCGGAGGCGGTGGAGGCGGCGGGGGGAGTGGGGGTGGCAGTGGAGGTGGTGGCGGGAGTGGAGGTACTAGTGGCGGCGGTGGAGGCGGAGGTGGTGGTGGTGGTGGCGGTGGGAGCGGCGGGGGCGAGGGTGGCGGTGGCGGCGGTGGCGGCGGAGGCGGGGGTGGCAGTGGTGGAGGTGGTCAGAGTGGCTCGTCCCAGCGGAGCACCACTGGAGGTAGTCAGCGCCAGCAGCAGCAGTAGCAGCGCTCTCGCGACGTCCCCACCCCTCAGCAGCTCCGTGAGTGGTACTCCCAGCGTCAGCGTGAGACTCTGGTGCTGCTGCGGGAGCTGAGCCTGGGGGTGCTGAGACTGGAGGTGCTACGCCTGCGGGTACTGAGCCTGGGGGTGCGGAATCTGGAGGTGCTGAGCCTGGGGGTGCTGAGCCTGGGGGTGCTGAGCCTGGGGGTGCTGAGCCTGGAGGTGCTTCGTCTCGCCGAGAGCCACTCTCCCCTCAGGAGCTACGTGAGTGGTTTGCCAGGCGCTGGAGGCGTGCTGCTGGTGCTGGAGGTTCTTTGGCTGCAGAGGGTACTGCTGCCGAGCGTCCCGGCGGTGCTCGTACTGTGGGTGCTGGAGCTGCTGGGTCTGAGGGTTCTCCTGGAGCTGGTGCTACTGAGGGTGTTGACGCTGAGACTGCCGCTGGAGGTCCGACTGGTGGTGCTCCTGGTGGTGCTGCTGGAGGTTCTGGAGCTACTGGAGGTGCTGCTGGAGCGGGTACTCCTGCTCGGGGTACTGGTGCTGTCCCTGCTGTTTCTGGCGTCGCCGCGCGGCCCCGGCCGTACTTCGTTCCGCTCCTGCAGCAGGTTCTTGGTCTTACACCTTCTCCTGGTCCTCCTCCTCCTCCCTTAGAGGGTCCACAGCCTGTCTCGTCACAGTCACAGCTACAGCCTGCCTCACCTTATTACGCACCTTTGCACTAGCAACACTCGCTACCGCGCTGCGCTTCCTGCTGAGTTCTGTGCCAAGAATCCCCCTCCCCCCCATGTACATCACCCTCTACTACATAGTCACCCGGCTCCCTGACTCCCTTCGCTTAGTCAGGGACCACTTCCTCTCAGTTTGCCCCACCACACTCACCGTTGACCTCCTAGAGGAGCGCCTCCTAGCAGCAGAGAAGAGCATAGTTGCTGTAGGAGCCTCTCGTGGTGACCCTCGCACCCCCGTCTTTGAGGGGTGGTCCTCTTCCCCCCTCTTGCCCTCTGTTGCTTCTGCTGCTGCGGCCGACCTTGTTGGTTTCGAGTCGGTCGGCGCTGCGTCTACCCCTAGCGGGAGATGCCGCACCGGCAAGGGCAAGGGAGGCAAGGGCGCTGGAGGGGCTGGCGAGGGCAGTGGAAGTGGTGGTGGAGGCAGTGGAGGGGGTGGGGGTGGTGCTGGGAGTGGTGGCGGGGGTGGAGGTGTCGGTGGCAGCAATGGAGGTGGAGGAGGCGGCGGCGGTGGCGGAGGGAGCAGAGGCGGCGGAGGTGGCGGAGGCGGCGGAGGTGGCGGAGGCGGCGGCGGCAGCGGTGGAGCTGGCCGCGGCTCTGCACAGAGGAGTGGCTCCGGTGGTGGTCTGCGCCAACAGCAGCAGCGCAGTCGTGAGACCCTGTCCCCTTAGCAGCTTTGGGTGTCGTACGCTGCGCGTCAGAGCGGTGTGGGTACTAATCCCTGCACCTACGTCCTCCATACCGGCGACCACGCTGGTGAGCAGTGCGGGGGCCCGCACTCCACCCAGCGCTGCTTCGGCCGCATGACGGACGCGTGGCGTCACCAGTTCTCTGACGCCACTGGGATCCCTTGCTCGGGAGAGCTGTCTAGGGCGGGGGTTGCTATCTTTGATCTTGATTATGATGCTATTCTTGCTGCCATGTATGTTGTGTCTGATAGTGTTGAGGGTGACTGTTACCTGTGTCTTCAGCCTGACCTGGGCATTGAGGCTGCTGCTCTAGGTGCTGGTAAGGCTGCTGCTCAAGGTGCTAGTGCGTCTGCTGCCCCAGGTGCTTGTGAGTCTGCTTTCTCAGGTACCACGTCGGCTCAGGCCTTACACACCTTCACCCTTGACTCGGGTGCTTCCCGCTCCTTCTTTCGAGACCGCACCACGCTTACATCGCTTAGTCGACCGGTTGCGGTCTCCCGAGCGGACCCCTCTGCGGGTCCTGTCCTTGCTAGCTTCTCCACTGTCTTAACGTGCCCAGCAGCCCCCTCTGGCACCCTGTCAGGTCTCTACCTCCCCTCGTTCTCTACAAACTTTATATTTGAGATGATCTATAGGATAGGGGGGTTGACCAGCTCACTCTTGTGAGTCAGCGCGTGACCCACTGCACGTGTGCTCGGACGAGTCGACACTTGGCCACGTTTACCCGTCGGCCGAGGTCGAGCCTGTACAGACTAACTACTGAGTCTCCTCCGGCTACTGAGTCTGGTCATGTAGCTGCGTCGAGTCAGGTGTTTGCTGCAGCGTCCAGGTCGAGTCCTGAGTCTGCGCCCTGCTCGTGTCGTCTCGTGTCCCCCCTCCAAGGGGGGCCCTCATAGCATTCTCGCACGCTATGTTGCTCCTGGGAGACACAGACCGGAGCAGATGGCTGCAGCAAAGAGGGTGTTGCACTACTTGTGCAGTACGTCGGGCATGGGGCTAGTGCTTGGAGGGCGACGACAAGTGGTCCTTTCAGGTCACGTAGACGCTTCTTGGGCTGACGATTAGGCTACGCAGCGGTCTTCATAGGGTTACACCTTCAGCCTTGGCTTCGGCTCTAATTTGTGGCGGTCTACCCTCTCGTCTTCTGTTCTCGGCTTCAGTTGTGAGGCTAAGATCCACGCGGGGGCCATGGCTGCACAGGAGCTACGCTGGCTCACCTACCTGTTGACTGACCTAGGAGAGCCGCCTCGTTCTCCTCCTATTCTGTACGTAGACAACAAGGCCATGCTGGCCTTGTGTCGGGAGCACGGACTGGAGCACAGAACGAAGCACATTGCCCCTCGTTACTTCCTTGCTCGTGAGCTGCAGCAGCGTGGTCAGCTGCGCCTTACTTACGTGGCCTCTGAGGCCAAGATTGAGGAAAGTAGAACGAGAATGGATGACTAAAGAATGGAAGGGATACAAATGTGCAACCTAGGGAATGTGTACCCCATATAGGCTACCCCACTATAGCCTACACAATCTTATAATTTGACACACCCCCATAGGAAAAGTGGTGGAGAACAAGGGGTCACAAGACCAGTCAAGCAAAGTAGACAAAGCTCTGGGTGGATCACAACGTCACCACACAGTCCGAGCACAAGGTCAAGGCCACAAGGCCAGTTCACATGCAGGAGTACACATATACATATAAGGCTAAACCAGCAAGAGCAGGTATATATATATGTAAGAGTACAAGCAAGGTCAAGGGGTGAGCAAGTGAGGCAAGCCAGGCACAAGACCCAGATGAGTGCAGAAGCGCTGATGATCACAAGGCGGAAGTGCCTTGGTGAAAACATCAGCAGTGTTGGCCTCACAGGCCACGTACGCAAGTCGCAACTGACCACGCTGCTGCAACTCACGAGCAAGAAAGTAGCGGAGAGCAATGTGCTTCATTCTGTGCTCCAGGCGCTGCTCCCGACACAAGGCTAACATTGCCTTGTTGTCTACGTACAGCACCAGAGGAGAAAGAGGCGGCTCTACGAGGTCAATCAGCAGGTAGGTAAGCCAGCGAAGCTCCTCTGCAGCCATGGCCCCGGCGTAGATCTCAGCCTCACAACTGGAGTCGAGAAAAGAAGACGAGCGAGTAGCCCGCCACAAAACAGAACCGGAACCAAGGCTGAAGGTGTAACCCTGTGACGACCGCTGTGTAGCCTGGTCGTCTGCCCAAGAAGCGTCTGCGTGCCCAGTGAGGACCATTGGACTCCGCCCTCCAAGCACTAGCCCCATGCCCGACGCACTGCACAAGTAGCGCAACACCCTCTTCGCTGCAGCCATGTGCTCTGGTCTGTGTCTCCCAGGAGCAACATAGCGTGCAAGAATGCTAAGAGGGTATGCAAGGTCAGGTCGTGTGCAGGTCATCAGGTACATGAGGCAGCCAACAAGCTCTGGGTACGGGCCACTCGACTCTACGGACTCATCCAAAGGCAGAGCTAAGAGCGAGTGGCGAGTAGACAGAGGAGTGGCCTGAGGCAAGGAGTACGTGAAGCCGAAGCGCTCAAGGACTTGCTGCACCATGTGTGACTGAGTCAGGGTAATGGTGCGGCGTGCTGTGTCCCGGGTGATTTGCAAGCCAAGGTAGCTGCGCAGTTCACCCAGGTCTGTGCACGTGTGTCTCTTCTGCAGCTCCAACTTCACGTGGGCGAGTCCAGCAGTGTCAGCTGTGGCAAAGACCAAGTCGTCGACGTACACGAGGATGTAGAACGGCGGCAGAGAGGTGTCGGTGCGTAGAAACAGCGACGGGTCAGCAGTAGAGGGAGCAAACCCAAGAGCCGCAAGTGTAGTCCTCAGTGTGTCGTGCCACTCGCGCGATGCCTGGCAAAGACCGTAGACTGGCCGTCGGAGGCTCCACTGGGTGCCAAGAGGGAAAGTCCCAGTAAAGCCAGGTGGACGGCGCAACCAGATCTCCTCGTGCAGGCTACCTTGCAGGAAAGCAGTGCTGAAGTCAAGGGAGTGAAGCTCGTAGTCACGCTGAGCGGCTATGTGAAGCAGCACCCGAAGAGTGGTCATCTTCGGGGTGGGAGAGAAGGTCTGAAAGTAGTCAACTCCCTGCCGCTGACTGAAGCCACAAGCCACGTACCGCGCCTTGAAGACAGGTGGAGAGCCCGGCGGCCGCTTCACCCTTAAGATCCACATGCCACTGACGATGTTCGCCCCAGGAGGGGGAACCGCGGCAACGTAGGTGCCTGTGGACTTCCAGAAAGCCATCTCTGCATCCATAGCTGCCTGCCATTGAGAGGAGTAGGGACCCTCTACGGCCTCCGCGTAGGAGCGCGGAGTCGGGATGTCTAGTGCATCCGGGTCTCCCTCAGGGGTAAGCAATACGGACGCGATATGAGGTGAAGCAGCAGCCAGACACTGGAACTCATCCTGCCTGTCCTCAAGGACGTCCGTGCCAAGAGCACACTCACCCTTGATGGACGGAGGACAGACAGACGCAGACTCAGCAACCAGACCAGCAGCGTAGTCAAGACGACAGCGAGCAGCAAAGTCGACGAGCTCTGCAACAAGAGCACACGCAGCAGTGGACTCAAAGGAGGGGTCAGTGACGACAGTAGCAAGGAGACGCGTAACAGTAGGACTGGCAGCACGAAGAGAGTCCGACTCAGGGTTGGCAAGCGCAGGAAGAGAGGACTCAGGAGGAGAGGGCAAAGGGGCACGCAGAGGAGTAGTGGACAGACGCAGAGACATTCGGTGCGTGCCAGGGACAGGAGGAGGACGCTAACGCAAACTGCGACCACTAGTGCGAGCAGCACGAACAGGCGACGCAGGACGAGACCCAGGCTCACGACGCTCAGCAAGACCTCTAGTAGGAACAAAGTACGGCCGAGGCCGCGCGGCGACTCCAGACACAGCAGGGACAGCAGGAGCACCCCCAGCGGCTGCACCACCGTCAACAGCACCACCAGCTCCAGTACCTCCAGCAACACCAGCAGCACCCGCAGCAGGACCGCCGTCAGGACTGACAGCAGTAGCCTCAGCGCCAACACCCTCAGTAGCTCCGACTCCAGTAGCACTCGCAGGACTAGCACCTCTGAGACCGGCGGCACCACCACCCTCAGCAGCCGAAGAAGCACCAGCCCTAGTAGTACGCCTCCAGCGCCGGGCAAACCACTTGCGCAGCTCCTGTGGAGAGAGTGGCTCCCGCTGAGACGAAGCACCTGGAGAACCACCAGGCCTTGCACCGCCAGACGCCACACGAGCAGGTCCAGCGGCCGCGAGCTCCGCACCCCCAGGCTCAGTAGCTCCTGACTCAGCACCCCCAGGCTCAGCAGCTCCAGACGCAGCACCCCCAGGCGAAGGACTCCCAGGCTCAGCCCCCCCAGTCGTAGCACCCCCAGGCTCAGCACCCCCAGTCGTAGCACCCCCAGGCTCAGCACCCCCAGGCTCAGCATCCCAAGGCTCAGCACCCCCAGACTCAGCACCCACAGGCTCAGCACCCACGCGCTCAGCACCCCCAGAGTCAGCACCCCCAGGCTCAGCACCCGTAGCAGTACCAGAGTCACCAGCAACCTCGACCGGCTCCAGTGCATCTACCTGGGACACACCTGAAGGGGCAGGACCCTGAGGGGGGAGGGGGTCTACCGGGGGGGGGACCTGGCACAAGGAAGTGCGGTGGCGGGGGGAGGGAAGGAGTGCGGTAGGGGAAGAGGCGGTAGTAGGGTTATGACTCGTCGAACGTGACGTCCTGGGAGGACAGAACACGACGAGAGATGGGGTGGTAGAACTGCCACCCAGGGGCGTCAGGGGGGAAGCCAAGGAAGACACAGGGAGCAGCACGAGGGGACAGCTTGTCCGCAGACAAGTCGCGGACAAACGCCCGAGATCCCCAGACACGGAACGCAGACGCATCGCCGACCTTCCTCGTCCACAGCAAGGCTGGGGAGGTCTCCGGCCTGGAGACCCTGGGGTGAAGGTTGATCTGATGCGCCGCGTACCGAACCGCAAACGGCCACAGAAAATGGGAGGCAGCCCCCTGCATCATGGACGTACGAGCGACGTCCATGACCATGCCAATGCGGCGCTCAGCAATCCCATTTTGCTGTGGAGAGTCCGGAAGCGTAAAGGTCTGGTGGATGCCTCGCGCACGACAGTAGGCTCGCAGAAGGCGAGAGGAGAACTCTCCGCCTCGGTCAGAGTGCAGACACAAAACAAGAAAGTCCGAGCCGAATTTCCTCCTGAGCTGAAGACGAGCTGCGCGGATCCAGTCGATCAACACCTCAGCGACATCACCCTTGCTGCGCAAGGGGAAGACTGTGGTGTAACGCAAGTGGTCGTTAACCAGCAGCTGGAAGTATTGCTCATGACCCTGTCCACGGACGCGGGCCAGGCCCCACACGTCCATGTGAAGTGTCTGCAGCGGGGCCTCTGTCTGGGGAAACTAGGAGGAGTGAGGGGCAGCTCGAAGCTGCCCCTCGACACAGGGGACACAGGATGGACGAGGCCGCGGAGGAAGGGGAGGGAGGGACCGGGGAAGACCAGAGACAAGGACACGGGAAGCCATGCCTCGGAGACGAGGCAGGGAGGGGTGACCAAGACGGTGGTGCCAGAGGAGAGTCTTGTGAGACAGGAGGCGACACGAGCAGGGGGCAGACTTGGGACCAGACCTGGACGTTGCAGCAAACACC